TTCGAGCTGAGATGTGATATTTTTTTAGAGTTTTTTATTATAATAAAAACAGTTAAATGTGACATTTTTTTGAGAATTTTTTACTATAAAAATTTAAAATTAAAAACTCAAATTAGTGAAATGAATAAGACTTTAATAGTCTACATACTACGTAGTAGTCAACACTTTACACTTTATGGTGGGCTGATGCACTGTACGTAGGAGTTAGAAGTACCTTGAAAACGGTGAAGAGGATAGACTGTTTTTCTATTTCAGTTACTTCACGTGGACTTGACACCTGGCAAGATCTCATTTATCATTAACGTACGCAGGAGGTGTCACTTTTAATTCCCTCTTCTTTTTTCTTTTTTTTTTTCTTTTTCTATTCTCTATTTAGGGGATTTTTTGTTTTTCTTTTATTTTATTTATGAGTTATTATGGAAAGTTAGGAAGAAATTATCTTTCGTTCAAAAATTAAAAGGAAAAAAGATTACATGCCGTTGTTTAGTATACAGGGGTACATGTAGAACTTTTACTTTTAAAGGGAAATATTTATATTTTTATACTCTATAGTTTAAGTTTATTTAAAATTTATACTTTAAATTTTTTATCTCATTAAATATATACCTTTAAATTAAATTTAACATATAAATCTATACATTATCTTAATTAATAATTGATTTTGATCTTTAAAATGATCAAACTATCTTTAAGAAAGACGAAAAAACTAAAACTTTATAATATTACAAAAAATAAAAAATTAAATACACAAAAAAACTCATTTCAATGGTATTTTGCATATTTTTCAGGTCAAAATTGTAAGTATACAGTTTGTTTTTTCTTTTTTCTTTTTTTATTCAATAATACTTTAGGTATTTTTAAGGTTAAAATCGATGGTTGATTATGAAAAGATATAAATTTATGTATTAAATTTAATTTAAAGGTATATATTTGATAAGATCAAAAACTGAATGTATAGAATTTGAATAAACTTAAAATACAGAGCATAAAAAGATAAATATCCCTTTTTAAAGGCTTCGTGGCATAAGGTCAGTCTACACCTTCTAAATCCTCCGAGTATAATTATAATGGAATTAGTTGACTTTATTAACAAGATATATGATATATAATAATAGTGTTATTTAATGTTGTATGAAATTTCAAAACAGATAGTTGCAAATATAGGCTGACCAGAATTTCATATATGATTAAACCTGAAGATGTAGAATTCCAACCCTCCTTTTAAATTGTTCAAAAAAAAAAAATGGAAAACCAATACAAATCAAGAGTTTTCTACTACACGTTAAGTGTTCAAAAACTTAAGTTTAACTCCATTCACCTAGTGGGCATGAGCAAACAATAAAAATATTAATATGACGATTACTGGGAATTCAGAATAGCTATATTGCACATAGCATTTCACAAAAGCATGATTTCAAAATACGCATTAATTTATTTATTGAATTTAGATGTTTCATAGTTAATTGAGAGTTTGCCTTCAAATCTTAATGCTAATTTCAAATATGAAAATTTGAGCCCTCAAAATATCAAAAAGTGAAGAAGTGAGCCCTCTAAGAAACGAAAATTGTATATTTAATAAATTAAATTGAGTAGATAACAGATTTTAAAACTATTTGAAATAAATAATAATTTATTGTATAAATGTTTCATATAATACTGATAAAATTTAATTTACGTGATAAAAATATTTATTTAGGTAGAACAAAATATTTTTACTAATTGTAAAAAGAATATTTACACAATAAACTGTTATTTACTTCAAATGGTTTTAAAATCTACTATTTACTTTAATTATTTATTACAAATTTACTATTTAATTCAGTCCACCTTAAAAAAAGTGAAGAGTTGAACCTATAAAAATCTAAATAATGAATTAAATTTATAAAAAGTGGGAGATTGGTAGCACAGAAATTTTATAAAATTTCACGTGCAATATGGTATATGGTTGTATTATGCAGTTATATAATTAAGTACGATAATATCGATGAACCTGTAACACCCTGAAGAATTAATTGAGATTAATTAAGGTAATTGAGATTATTAGTGTGCCTAATTTAATTTAATTAATTGAGTTTAAAAAATTCCAAGGTATTTAAATTATTCACAGTAATTTATTTAATCCAGAAGTGTGTATGGGCGCATTTCTGGACTGTTATATTTTACACATGTCACTTTCTTTTATTTTTCTTTTCTTTTCTTTTCTTTTTCTTTTTCCTTTCTTTTCCTTCCTTTTCTTTTTCTTTCCCGTGCGTTTCTCTCTCTCTCTCTCTCTCTCACACTTCCGTGCTCTCTCTCTCCCATTTGTGTCTCAAATCAAAACCGGATTTGAACCAAGAGTGATTTCAAAGAGTTTTCAACGTCAAGAGAAGGATTTGAGGTAAGATTACTGAAAGAACCTCTCTTGAATCTATATTTTTCGGATTTCAAAACTTATTTTTGGTTCAAAACGGATTTTGATGGATTTTGAGTAAAACTAGAGTAGAAATTAGAGATCTTGGGTTCTTTGGACTTGTTTTAGGACCTAGAACCCGGATCTAGTGGTTTCCCTTTGAAATATTTGGATTTGGGACTGGATTTGCAGGTTTTTGGACTGATTTCCGCGAGCTTCTCTCGCGCAGTCGATTCCACCGGTCGACCTGTGCGGTGGCTGACCGGTCGACCTGTCCGGTCGACCAGTGTGCACACTATCGGTCGACCGGTAGTGTTGCACTGCTCTATCACCGGTCGACCAGTGTACACGGGGTTTGACCCTGTTTGGTCTGAAATTGTTGTTTTGACCCATGTTTTCGGGGAGAACCCAAATTAGCTTCATTTGGGGACTTGAGATAGATGGATTAGCATTGTTAATCCTTGTTTTGAGATTGAAAACCCTTGGAATGATAATGTGAAACATTAAAATGGATTAGGGCACACTAATAGGAAATCTTGGTATATGA